CCCCTAACCAAGAGAAACGAGGAGACTCCACTCTCACTTGGTGGACTGGAGTCATGTCACTGCTCTGTATTTTGAGTACCTCCTGGAGAAAAGTGATCATTCTAGTGATGCACTTGTAGCCCCCTGTGGAAGTGTGCCCTGTCTTGGTGACAGCACAGCAGAGAGGAAGAACATGGAGGGCTGTGTTTGTGACACGGAAAGGCTGCACAGCACCAGGCACGGCCATGCCTAAATTAACAGGAAGCTCATTCTGGCAAACCTTATTCAAAGAGCCATTTCAAGTAAAATATCTGCATCGTGAAACCAAGAACAAACTCAGCTTTACACAGAGAGGACTTATCACTAGATTACCCCCAGGGATCATGACTGCAGGAATAATTGCTGGGAAAGGGGAGGCTCCAGCAGGGTAGAAATCAGCAGTCAAGCTGCCAGGTCTGCCACACACAAGACCCAGCTCTGCAGGGTTTGGTCTGCAAGAGGAATAGTTTGTCCAAATTTTCCTGGTGGCAAAAGTTATTCTGGTAATAAAAATCCAGGATTTCAGTCTTTTAAAAAGTTCAGTCGATTCAGAAAAGCAAAAGGTTGGATGCAGTGTCTTAAATATTTACCTACACATTTCTTTTTTACTCAGGGAATCTTTCAGTAACACCATAAGGTTTTCAATCTTCAATGAAAGCTTTGCAGCAACTCCACATGCGCAGATGAAGACAAAGCAGCCTTCAGCAGGAATTATTGTATCAGAGATGTCCAGTGGTGAGAAGCTCATTCTTTTTTTTTCTTTTTTCTGTGGAGACCAATTGAAAAACAAACAGGAAAAAGGTCATAAAGTCATGGTCCAGCAAAACACAACTGTTTCAATCAGCAAAGGAGCAATCAATTCCTCCATGTAGCAGCTGATTTAAAATAAATGTTTCTCATGTCTGAGAGTGAACCCTGTAGCAGGTCACACAGCTCTGGAGGACCTCAAGGCTGCTCCTCCAAGCGCAGTGCCCTAGGCTGTGCCCAAACCAATGTGGGCCAAATGCTGCAGGCATTGCATGCAGGAAAGCAGGGATGCTCACATCAGCTCATCTCACGTCCTGACAAAACCTATTCACCCCATTACTCTCACGCACACCCAGTTGCTGGTTCTGACTCAAGTATGTTTTTGAAAGCCATCCAGACCTCCCGCTGCAGAGCATGGCTGACAGGAAACACATGTCAGTGGAATTTCTCCATTACTGCAAAAGGCACCGTTGGCCCCAGGAAATCCCAGAGTGCCTAATGACCCCCAAACCTCCTGGGGAGGGTTCTTCCTCTTCACTATTCCCTAAAATCTGCTACAGGCCGCTCTCAGAGCCACAGGAGAACAGGACCGCAGATACAAGCCAGCACGGATGCTCTCTCCTAACTCAGTCGATAGAGAGTTGACAATCATGCTAACAGACTAACCTAGAGCCAGCTTAAGCAGTTTTAAGCCAGTTTAAGCCAGCAAGTTTACACCTTTGCTGATGACACCTATGTTCAAGCAGGGGAGATGCCTTCCTGCTCCCTGTTATGGTTAGTTCTCCTGTGTCTTTGTTGGATTTGGGTGCTGAGACCCATCTAACATCTGGATATGAGATGTTGTCCTCAAACACTGGTGGTCCTCCTTGGGAAATGAGTTCTCCTGGGGGATAACTTAAATGGCCAAGAAAGTCCCCCAAGAAGGAAGGATGTTGAATGACCAGCTCAAGCATCAGCACCTCCAAGACCTCCCAACATCCCCTGTCCCACAACAGCAGGTCTCCTCCTCTTCCGCTTGCATCAAACCGCCCTCCAGGGACCAGCCATGGTCTGACCCAAAGAAGACATATTTTTTGGTGCTCCCCCACAGCCCTGTTCACTACCCCCTCTGCTCAGCCTTCATAACATTTGGGAGTGTGCTGTGACCTTGTACAGCACTACTGCAGCGTGACCCCTAACTGGAATTTCACCTGGACTTCCCAGGGCTAAGACTAAAACCCTTTCTGTTCACAGAGCAGTCGGAATCTGGTCCTGGAGCATTTGTGAGCTGAGCGAGTACTAGCGGCTAATGCAGGGGGTGGGCTGACACTAACCTTGCTCTCTCTTCATTTCTACAGCTTGGGTTAAGGCACAGCAGACACAGTTACAAGCATTTCACAAGTCACAGAGGTGTTCCTACAAACCAGCTGCAAAGAGTGATTCATGATAGAGGTGGTGAGAGGTCCAAGTGGAGCTCCAAGTGGAGCTGTCTGCAGGGCACTGGTTGTAATAAAGGAGCAATCTCGACAGACTTTGAACTTTTCCAGTGGTGAAAGAACAGGAAATGTTAAGAAATAAGACAAAGAGCTTCCACTGATAAAAGCCACACGGGCAGTGGGGCCAGCCACCCAACCCAGAGGGAAGCAAACCCTAGAGAAGCGGATGCAGGGTGGGACTTATGGCACGGGAAGGCTGATGGACACAGACTGAAACCCACAGAGGCTCCTCCAGGTCTGGGAAACTCATTTCGTGGAAGTAGAATGATTCAGGCCAAGTCCCTCCCTTGCTGGAACATTTTGGAGAGGCTCCTCTATGTGATCAGCTCCTTGCTCCCCAGAGAACAAGAACCAAAACTCCACAGAAACAAATGCATATATCAGTAGGCTCAGGGGGTCAGGGACAAGCCCTGGGCAGGCAGCCACAGGTCTCTGCAAGGGCAACCCTCCTGCTATTGCAGCTCACCCCTGGGGACGTTTTAGGACACTTGCCCCACATACCAACTCACACTGAACTCCTCCTGCATGTCCTTTGTTTGGCACCTTTGTGTTCTCCTCGGGGGTCCCCACACAAGGGGTAGAATGCAGGGTCACCCCACACAGGGGAGTGGTGGAGAAATGCTCTGCAGGGCAAAGCTGGCAGTGACATCTCTGCCTGCTGTTTGCTGTGCCAGCCTGGATGGCTTCACCCAGTGGGGGAGGCAGGTGCCCCTCCCCACCCTCACACCATTAACCTTTCAGCCCCCAAATAAAAGGTTATAAAAAACCAATCAAAGTTCATTACATCCCTTAACGTGTCATTTGCAAGGGAATGAGCTGGGAGTGATAAGGCAACTTTCTTCTGCATGGGAGGGAGTCAGGAGAGGAAAGGGGAAGAACTGAGCATCTGGACCTGTCAACGGTGATAGGGCTCAGCCCCACAACGAGACAGGGCAGGCATGGGGGTGAGCAGAGCTGGACATAGATATGGCAGAGCCAAAGGGAGCATCCCAGAGAAGCCCACAACCACATGATCACTGGCTCAGCAGCAGCAGGACTGGACCTCACCTACCAAAGGGAAAGTGACAGTGGTTTCACACCAGCACTTCCACCACACAGCCCATGGTGCCTGAGGGCCACTGAGACTTGGATGTGCCCATCCCCAGCAGGTGTAGAGGGTCCAGGACACAGCCGAAACCAAAATGACCAGCAGCTCAGGGGAAATAAAATAGAAGCCTTAGTCAGAAGACAGCAAAGGTAGTAGGAGATGGGAAGTTCAGACATTAGTCACAAGCACAGGCAGGCAGCTCTGCCCTGTCAGATTCAGGGAGCCGCTACACCACACAGAAGAGCCCAGTGAGAATTTCATTTGACTGGGCTGAACCATGAGGGCATGAGGCTGTGGGAAGACTACAGCTCTGGAGGCATTATTTCAGGAGTTTGCACCTTACTCTTCCTTTTGATGGAAAATCAGGAGCAATTAGACATTTCAGCTGTGTAAAGCTTCACCAACTGAAAGCCCAGCAAAGCCCCAGTCTCCCAGCCGCAAACCCAACAAAGTATTGTCCATATTCGAGATTTGGCTGCAGAGACATCAGACAGCCAGAGGGATGGGCAAGTGTAACAAATGGCTGCTGGATCACCTCCTGTCCCAGGTACTGACCCGATGTCTCCCACAGGGTCTGCTTTGTAAAACCCTCCAAGGCCAGAGAGAGGAAGGAGGACACTCTACCCGAATCAAGCCCCCCTGGCCTGCAAAGGCCACCATGAGATGAGCAAGATGTTCATCTCTGGGCCACCATTAGGTGCCCTACTCCCAGCAGTGATGCCTCCTGCCAGCCCTGGACCCCTCCCTGATTGCTGAGCACCTCCAAATGCAACTCCAGTGGCACTCGCAGAGTGGGGCTGCGAGACGAGCAGCTCCAGCATGGGGCCCTGGTCAGTCATTTCCTCGCCAAATAAGAAGCATACCAGGGAAACAGGATGACACCAATTAACCCAACAGTGGGAAGAGCAGGTGCCAGAGCTCCCAGACAGTTACATGTGCTGCCGGGCAAAACAAAGCCCACACTAAAGCATTCACAGGATTGACACCTTTAGTGTTCCCCACCTTTGGAGTTACCTGGCACTTGTGGCAAAGCTGAAGTTGATGATGAGCAGACCTTGGCATCCTCAGGGAGGCAGATAGCCTCAGAGAAGCAGTTCCACGTTTGGTGGGAGAACAATCCCTCATCACCTCCTGCAGGGAGGGTCTTGGCAGCCCTGGTATAAGGTAAAAGAACCTGGCTGGCTGGCTCCTGCAGGCTGGAAACAAAGCCCCACTCAGACACTCCTGCATACATCAAGAAATGTTTCCTTCCAGCCTAATCATTTCTAATCCCATCTGCAAGCTAATTATTAAAAACCTTCACAACTCAAGAGCTGTAAACACTGTGCCAGGCAGGCGTCCCCAGCAGTAGTGCCAGGCTGCATTTCCAGGAAGCAAATCACACCCTCAAACCCTGAGCTCTTTTCTTTAAGAAACACGTGAATGCTCTCACTGTGGCACAAAGGAGGAGTGGAAATAAACTGAAAAAATATTAAGGACTCATTTGTTATTATGCCACTGCACAATGAACGGAGCCATTGTTTCCTACCTGGGCTAACAATGCCTTTTCAGAAAACACAAAGCACTTTTCCCCCCTGTCCTTTAAAAAATGTCAAGACCAAGGCTGCTGGAGGAACAGTGAGCAGTTCGGAAAATAAAATACAATAAAATAAAATAAAGCAGCTAACAGATTGTTCAGAGGGTTTTCACACTTGATCTGTAAACACTCTTTTATTTAATAAAAATAATCATCCATTATAGCAACTTCTGCTTGTGGTTTGGTTGGGTGGGTTTTTTTTTTTACATTAAAGCACAGTTTATTTGCTTTCCTCACCTCTTGAGGATTCAGTTCTGAAAATGCAAGTGAATGTAAACATTGCTTTCCAGGTCCCAAGATGCATCTGAGGACCCTTGGAGTTAATTACAAAGTCAAAAGAGAGAGCAAAATCAACAGAACACTTCTCAAAAGTAAAAAGGTATTTTTAAAGTCTCTTCCATACGACTCCAGAGAAGGCAAATTCATCTTATACATGAAACTTACACAAACTTTGCTTTGTCCAAACAATTTCTATGACTTGTCAGTATTTGATAAAGCTGTTTTCATAACATTAAAATATTTGCAGACTCATTTATTTTTAGAAATAAAAAGTTTTTCCTATAAGTGTTCTCCAGAAATTTATTCATGGCACAAGGATGTTAGATTTGTTCTGTCCACTTCTGTTTTGTTTTTGGCTTGGGGTTTTTTTGTTGTTGTTTGGGTTTTTTTAGCAGAAAAAGCTGAAAGCCATTTCAGGAAAGACTGTAAAAGCAGTATTAACTCTCTCTCCTGTTGCAATCTCACAATATTTACACATATATTTAAAAAAAAAAGCTTAATTACACTATAAAATACTGGAAAAAATGTCAGTTAGGTTTCCCACTTCAGAGTTTTGCCCTGTATAAGACTGAAAGAGGGATGCCTTAATATGTCCTAGAAAAATGAGACTGGCAGGTTAAAAACTGAACTTTTCCCCCTCTGAGAAAGACGGAACGCCCATTGTGCACAAACCCCCTCCTCTCTGCAGGAAATCCCACAGGAGTTAAACTACCACAAATCAACACAGATGAGATAACTTGATATGCAGAGCCCTGTTATTTGCTTTGAAATGTTATCTATTTACAGTTGAGGTGGAGGAAGCAAGTGAGCATCGAACACATTTCGGTGCTGCAGACTGGTATAATATCAAACAAGATTAACTCGTGGGGAGCTTGGCTGGGTCCCAAGCCTCACGTTGCAGGGGAGATAGTCTCGGTTGCCTGGGACATCCCTGCCTGCACAGCAAAGGCACCGCTCCATCAGGGTCTGCTTTAATGAGTAACGAGGCAGCAGTTGCCATCTCAGCTGTATTGTATCACAGGCAACACAGCAATCAAACAAAAACAAGTATGATATAAAAAAATAACAACAAAAATAGCCAGTCTGGTGAGGTCTGTGATCCTAAGCTTTATAGCCAAAACACAAAAAATCACATTGAAAATTTTAGTAATATTATCAAACTGTCAGGTAGGGGATGGCTCTAGTTGTTCAGTGGTTTTGAGAAAAGGGTTTTTCAGGGGGTGGGAAGAGAGAGACTTTGAAGGTGTCAAAAATTAAAGCATTCACAGTTTCAAAGCTGCTTGCCTTACAAAAATTAAGACATTCAAATTCAAGAATACAATACTGTATTTTACAAGGGGGTCAAAATTCATACATATACAACAGGGAAAAAAAGATACAACAAAATAATAAAGCCAACACCTCTGGTGTGGCATACTCCCTTTTTGTTGTTCATCTCACAGAGCTGCACACTGTTTGTCTTTAAAGAGTCAAACTGAGCAGTCATGAAAATATCCACTGAGAGATTCTGGCAAAAATAAAAAAAAAAAACTAACAAAATAAACCAAGCAAGTCAAAGGCCATCCTCCCCTGGAAAGCCAAATGCCACAGCTCGGACCTTCACTTGCCTGCTGCTCCTCACTGCTGCTTCCCAGCACTTCCATAGGCTCCTCTCAGGTTTTAAAGGCTTCCTGCTCACAAGCTAAAGGAAACCATCCCATGCAAGCACAGCCCGAGAGAGACATGCTTACTCTCCTACAAAGTCTTGATTAGTCCTGCCCACAGCAAAGGCTCCTTCAAACAATCCTTTTCCTCTCTATCCTGCAGAGGATCCTTTTGAAGGCCCGCCTGAAGTCATGGTTGAAAATGGTATAGATGACGGGGTTCAAGGAGCTATTGCAGTAACCGAACCAGAAGAAGAACTTGAAGAGGGTGTTGGGCACGGAGCAGCTCTCACAGACGGCCATCAGCGTGTAGGTGAAGAAGAAGGGGAACCAGCAGATGACAAAGACCCCAATCACCACTGCGAGTACGAAGGTGAAGCGTTTCTCCCGGTTCTGCCTGCCCCTCCACCGGGATCCTTTGGTGTTCCTCTCCTCCTCCGTCTTCCTGGGCAAACTGTCCCCAGGCTTAATTTGGCTCAGCTTAGTCTTGGTCTTTCCTCTCGACGGTCTCTCTGACTTCTTACACTGGTTGTTCTCCTGGTGCTCGGAGGAAGAGGTCTCCTCCATGTCTATGCCATTGACCTCTCCCTCCTGTCCACCGCTGCCTCCTGCCGCCTTCTCCCCGTTGAGCTGTGCTGTGGCTGGCAGGTCCTCCTTGTCAGTCAAGCCATTCTGCTTCTTCTCAGGGCGCTCTGCTCGCTTGTTCGGTGGTACCCTGGTTCGCCTCTTGGCTATCTGGTAGATGCGCACGTAGACCAGGATCATGATGAGGCAGGGGGCAAAGAAAGAGCCAATGCTAGAAGAGATGATGTACCACTTCTCATCATTGATCTTGCACTCTGCCACCCCCTGGTCAGCCTGCTGCCCGCTCTTCTTCTCGATGGAGATGAGTGGTGGGAAGGAGATGACAGCCGAGATGACCCAGACGATGAAGATGATGCACTTGATGCGGCGTGGGGTGCGCTTGAGGTTGTACTCGATGGCTTGTGTGATGGACCAGTAACGGTCCAGGCTGATGGCACACAGGTGAACGATGGAGGAGGTGCAGAACAGCACATCCAAGGCCAGGTAGATCTCGCACCAGACTTTACCAAAGTACCAGTACCCCATCACCTCATTTGCCAGTGAGAAGGGGATGACCAGTGTGGCCACCAGGATGTCAGCCGAGGCTAAGGAAACCAGGAAGAGGTTCTGGGGGGCTTTGAGCGCCCGGCTGGTGAAGACAGCAATAATGACCAGGACGTTGCCGAAGACAGTGAAGAGCATGAGCAAGCCGGCCAAGCTGATGAGAGTGATGGTGGTGTGCAGAGGGTACGGCGTGCCCCAGCCCGGCCCGGCCCCGCTGTCGTTGAAAGTCCCGTTGCTGCCGGGAGGCGGGTAGCCCTCCTCCTCCTCCAGCTGACGCTGGTACTCCATGGAGGAGAAGAAGTGGCCCCTCTCCGTGAACGGGCGCTCCAGGTTAAACATCAACGCCGGCTGCGCGGACACCCCCGCCCTTCGCCCCGGCTCCACCCGCGCCGCGCCCGGCTCCAAGCCCGACTCTCCGCGTCCTACTGTGCCGCCGGCCGGGGCGGAGCGGCGCGCCGGGGGCCGGGGGGCTGCGGGCGCCCACCGCGCATGCTGGGCGCTGCCGCCGGGACCCTCCGAGCGCGGCGGAGCGGGGCCGGGGCTGGGACTGCAGCCGCCGCGGCTGCTCTGCCTCGCTCGCCGCCGAGCCGCTTTATAGCCCCGGATCGGGCCGGGGCTGCCGCGTCAGCCCCACGTGGGGAGCTGCCCCCGGTGCGCGCACACGCACAGAAAAACCCACACTCTCATGCACACACACAGACTCGCACACCGCGCACCCGCGCCCCGACACGGACACTCGCGCCCACCGCCCCCTGCAGCTCCCCTCGCTCGGCTCTCACGCCCGCCCGCTCCGCGCACACACCGCACCCGCTCTCCAAGCGGCCCCGCCTGCTTTCGCACCCCCGCTCGCCCCCGGCTCCTCAGCGCACACACACGCACCCCGCGGTCCCCGTCCCACGGTGTCGCCCAGCCCGGCTCCCCGCCCCGCCCGGGGAGAGGAGCGGCTCCCGCTGTCCGCGGGGATGGGCGTGCGGGGGGCGGCTGGAGGCGACCACCGTGCGGGCGGCTGCGCAGCCACCGCGGGGGAGCCGGGGGTGCCCCGAGCCGGGCTGCGAGGGGGTAAAAGCTGCCGTCCCGTGTGCCGGGGGGGACAGCGACGGGCTCCGCTCCGGGTGCCGGGTGTGCGGCCGTGCTCGCTGTAAGCCCGGAGGGCAGCGCTTCCCCACGGCCCCGCTTGTCAGCCAGGCGGGGCTGACCTGAGGACCCCGCTGGGACGGAGGGACCCCGCGGGACGGGCGGCGGCGGCCCCGGGCAGCGCGGCGGGGCAGTGGCACCTGGTGGCCACGGCGCCTCACTGCATCCGCCGGCCCAGGCCGAGCGCCCCGCACCGCAGCGTCCCGCCCCGACGGCAGGGACACGCTTCCCACTAGGGAAGAACAGGGCGGCAAAGCAGCAGGGGATGGGGGCAGCCCCCCACTGCCAGATCAGCCCCAGCCCAGCTCAGACCCGGCTGCACGGGCACCCACGGCGGCCCCCACGCCACCGCACGGGCTCAACACACGCGCTCCTGGACATACCCCCCGCGTTGCCTTCCCCTTTTCTCTCCCCAGGGGAAGCAGGCAGCTCTCCCACAGGGTGCCTCACACCTGGAAAGCCTCCTCAGATGCTCGCCGACAGCACAGGGGTTGGCATCATGCACCTGCATGGCTGCAACAGCAACATGGGAGCTTTGTAACAGCACGGGAGCAATAGTGACGCTCCGGGTATCCCGCCCAGCCCCGACGCTGCCAGCTCTCAGCCTGTACAGATCACTTACCCAGACTCCAGCCCCGGTCCTCTCACTAACACACTCTAATGATGCTCACTTCGTGCTCCAGATCCAGGCTGCTCTCAATTAATCGCCGTGCTGAATGCCCCGGCCAATGAACGTATTTCCTCTGCGAGATGGAGGAAACCCTGTCATCTTTGTCCCTGTGCCACACACCATGTTATAAGCCAGGCCTAGGAGCGATTATGCCCAAGAGAGGGAGCAGGAATGGGACAGACAGGGTCTGGGAGCCAGAGAGCACAGCCTCTGCAGCTAACACCCAGCTGGGAAAATGAGGGGGAATCCCACTGTCTGAGCAAAGGAGTGCAGTACCCACTACACTGGTGTGCCTGGGAAAAGGGCAATCTGCAGAGAGTGACTTGTAATCTATAAACTGAATCCAAGACAACTGATATGCCCCCACAAAACTTCTCTATATGAGAGTAAATGCAATGTATAACCACAGACTTCACTGCAAGGATGAAGGGACTCACCTAAGTCTATGGCAAGGCCAGGTGGGAGGTCAAGGAGATGATGGACTGTGTGAACAACTCCTGCCTTCTGCTGGCTACGGGGGACTGATGCAGTCTGCAGGAGGATGGTGTTGTTCTGCCCAGCAGAGGGTCTTCCCCTCCCTCAGATGTGGGATCTGCATCACCCCTGGCAGAAGCCTTCTTGGTCACTGCTTGGTGGAAGGACTCAGAGAGGGGAGGGTTGCAGGCCATGTCTCACCTGCATGGATAACCCCTTCTGTGATCAGTCTGAGCTCAGCTGTAACACCTGCACTAAGGCCACCAGGCACTGTCTGAGATACTTTGTTACAGACCTGGGCTGGTGCCTTTCTGGAAACATCCTGCCTTCCCCCATGCCTCCTGTGTTCCCCAACACAGGATGATTTAAATGATAAAATATGACCAGCTGCCTTGATTTTCTGTCCCTTTCTGTAGCTAGACACCTTCAGTCTGCCTGAAGCTAAACCCAGCTAATAACATTGCTCCTAAGCCACCACATTGCAAAAGCAGAGCTTTGATCAGTTCTCTTTGCTGGGACAAAGAGCACAAGGGGAACACATGAGGCCAAAAGAAGAAGAAAAAGGGTTTGTTCCAGAAACATTGCTAAAAAGAGAGCTCTCTGCAAGTGGGGAACAGCTGGGATGGCATTGTACTCATCTCAGAGAGAAAACCTGCTTCATCAAAGGCACTTTCCTCGCACCACCACCGTTGTTGTGCGTTGGACATATCTGTGATTTTATTGACACCAGAAGTGCTCAGCGCTGTCTGCAAAGTGACTCAGTAATGCCAACTTTCCCCTTGATTTTCTCTGCAGGTTACCACATAGCTCTGCACAATTCTTGAGATGAAAGGTGGTCAGAAACTGCCAGGGCTGGCAAGGACCCTGAAGATCTCTATCAACAACCCGTGGCACACCTTGACCTACTAGACAGTCATTTTTACAAGTCTATACCATTCCTGATGATAATTTGGAATATTCATAAAGGCTCCTATTCAACTCCCAGAGCCCTGGGATTAGGCAAGAAACTTGAATTTTTAGCCCCTGGAAGACTGTAGAGAAAAGCTTCATGGGGGCAAAAAACCAGCTAGTAAATAACATTTTTATATCAATCCCCTGGTGTTGTCATCCAGATGCTCAATTTTTGAATGCACGCTGCTGACAGCATTGATATGAGCTGTTAGGACTCTGCAATTCAAAATTAGTCAACAAGTGTCTGACAAGACAGCCCGGAAAACAGCCTGTTCTCTGGCAGCATCGCACAATGAAGAGCTGCAGGAGCCTGCCCTTTCCCCAGAAAGCAGCCTGGCTTCTCAGCAGAGCCCCACGAGGAACCAGGCTCGCCAGACAAGGGGGGATAGCCTGGGTGCGCACCAGTGAGTGAGGCTGGCGGCTATCGATCCTCCTCTGATGGCTCCCCCTCCGTCAGCTGCCATCCCAGGAGGGCAGCAATGCCCTTTCCGAGGCGCGGCGGCGAAGATCGCATTCAGCACGTGTCCCTCGGGCGCGTCCCCCGCAAACAAACTGACCTTTCTGGCTGGTTTCAGGTCATTAATTAGGCACGCTGCTTCCGTGTTTATACATCTCTTCCGCCCATCAACTCCTGCATCGCTTCCAGCACGGTCTCCATTGGTGCAGGGGGAGCCAGGACCACACTCCCCTGCTGCCTCTTGGGGAGAAGAAGCTGTGAACCGTTCGTGCAGTCTCGGAGCTGCTCACAGCATGAAGCCAATCACATATGGAGAAATAATCTCTGGAAAGAATTGCTATGGTAATAAGGCTGCAAAATGTGTGTTTTGAACAAGCAGCCCCAGGAATTGTTTGTTTCCAGAAGAGCAGTGAGATTCTGGCAGGGAAAAAAAGTAACAAAAACCGCTGAAGGACTGAGGCTTGCTTTTTAGACAGTCTGGTTCAGGCCTGAAGAAGCTAGACAAACCTAAAACTATCTCATGGCATGGCAGCACAGACTCCTGGGGGGACCACATGAAAGGGGAAACCACTGTAACAAGGTGCAGAAATTATTGCTCAGCAGAAGCTTTCAAGAGCAGCTCTGTGCCAACTTGACAAAAGCCATTGAAGAGGGAAGCCTTGGAGCTGTGGGTGCTCTGTGTCAGGAGGTAAACAGCAGTCACAATTTGCTTAGTATGAGGAGGTCTGTGATTTGCACTAATCTCAGTATTTGCATATCCATGGCAGGAAGCCCTTGTTGCAGCTGTGTATTTTGATCATGCTACTGGGTGTATCTGAATATATCAAAGCAGGGTGTCTTTCAGGAAGATTTGCTTTATTAACTGTTTAGCTACCCTTGGAGTAAGGCACTGAAATCCCATGGCTTGTGACACCCTGTGCACTAATGATTGAGTAGCCCCTTCACAGCAGCTTCAAGTTGGTCAATTTTTCCACAGGCCCAGAACAAACTGGCAGAGATGCATCCAAGTCATACAAAAAAATGCTTTTCCCCTTTACTGTTAACCCCAGGAGGAAAAACACTATAGGAGACATCAGGAAAGAGGCACAGACGTTCTGCAGGCCAACCTGGATTTGCTGGGTATATAATAGTGCCACTGCAAAATAACACAGCAAGCACACCACCCCAGGTGGGTGTTTCAAGTGCTGTGATTCCTATTTTCCTTCCATTTTTAAAATTAATTTAAAAATTGGCTCTTGTGGCCACCCCTCCAGCTGCTTTGGGACCCCAGGCCCTTTCCCTTCAACACACACATTCAGACCTGTAGCCCTTTCTTTCCCCATCCGCTGCTGCATGTGAGAGTTTGGGTTTTGCTCTTTTCATAGATCTCACAGCAATGGCTCCTGCAGAGCCATATTTTTCAACAGTCTGTCTGGACTCAGCTGCTGGATGTACTTTTCTTAGTTATTTGAATAAACCAGTAGGAAATGGAGAGCTGTGGCAGTGGTCTGTTCTAGCACCTAATCCCCTTGCAAGCAGTGACACTGCACATTATCAGATGTTCAGAGGGGAAAGAAAGGAGGCACACTGAATATTACCTATGGTGGCAGTTCTTCACTACCTCCATCTGCAGACAGCTGGCTCAAACCAGCACAAGATGGATCCTATGTGACCACCTGCTCCTCAGGGGTTTTTTTTTTGCAAACAACTTGAAAGCTCTGCTTGCCTTTCCTCTGCCTTGCAGGTTGCCTGCCCTGTTCAGCAGGATTTCAACTACCAGATTTGACTGCACAGCCCTAAACCAACAGCCAAGAGGAACATTTCCACGCTACAGATTATAGCATAGCAGAGTTGGGGGTGAGGCTGAGACATGGGGAC